AAAAAAAACTACCTGCGTGAGAAGACATTAAAAAGGTAGAAGATAATAAAATTACCTTTTAGAATTATTTAATTAACACGGTGTTTTTTGGTGGTTGATAAAAGGTGACGTGTGTGTGTGGGTTTTTAGGATTGTTTGAAAACCACAATCCAGCCCTTTGAACGCACGCAGCTTCGGTGCACCTGCGATAGCCAAGTAGTGCACTCGTCACGTAGAGGGTGGTGCGCAATAATTTAGCAAGTAATCGTGCACATCGTACTGAATTCAATAATTGAATTTAAATTGCTACAGCGAGAACGAAAAAACACTGGCTCAAATGGACGGCAATAAAGACGAAGCTCATCGCTGTATAGATATAGCTGTACAAGCATTTGCGGAGGGTAAAATCGAGAAAGCTGAAAAATTTGTGCTAAAAGCCGAGAAATTGTTTCCAACTGCACGGGCCAAGGGTGAGTATAAAAAAATTTTGTGTTCGTATGGAATAGTAGCTTATGTCAAGAAGCTGGCTTTAGTATAATGCGGCATTCCCTTTATTCTTTAAACGAGGAAGAATGACGCATTATACCAGCATTTCGACATAATCTATACCATAATAAAAATGTTAAACCTTAACGCGAATTCCGTTTAAAAATTATAATTTTTTTATATTTCTTCGGTCAGAGTTACTGGCTAAAGTGAAGTCAGGCACAACTACAGGTGCGGGCAAAACGAGCAACAGTACAGGTGGCAACGGCACGGCCCACCGTGAGACCACTGCTACTGATGGTCCACGTAAGCGCAAGAACTCTGACTCTCGTCATGCAGAGCCGGAGTATACGAAGGAGCAACTTGAGGCCGTACGTAAGGTTAAAGGGTAAGTGATTTTAGCTTTATTGTTGCACGTTTTGTATAAAATTTTTTACATATTTTAGTTGTCGCGATTACTACGAAATTTTAAGCGTTACCAAAGAATCCACTGATTCGGAAATTAAGAAATCCTACAAGAAATTGGCATTACTGTTGCATCCTGACAAAAAATAAAGCACCTGGCGCTTCGGACGCCTTCAAAGCTGTGGGAAACGCTGCTGCTATTCTCACGGATGCTGAGAAACGTAAGCAATACGATCTATATGGCTTAAATGAGACACACAGCAGTGGACACGGTGTTCGCAGAGACAATTACGAGTATGCATACGCACGCGGTTTCCAAGCCGAAGTTAGTCCTGAAGATTTATTCAATATGTTCTTTGGCGGTGGCTTTGCCCAGCAAAATGTATACATGCGTCAACAAAGGCGTCGACAACAGCATCGTGATGATGGCGAAGTAAGTGTGAATTTTGATTGGGAACATTAAACTTTATTTATGCCTATTGCAGCATCAATCGAACTCTTCGGCGCTTATAAACTTTTTGCCCATACTACTTTTGATTGGTTTATCGATGATATCCTCGTTCTTCATATCGGATCCGATTTACAGCTTAACGCCATCACAGTGAGTAGTTGTTTTTTTTTTGTAAATTAAAAAGAAAGTAAATCTGTACTTAAATTCTTTTTACAGTAAATATGCTGTAAAACGTGAAACAAATCGCTTAAAAGTTCCGTACTATGTGAAGAATAATTTCCACTCCGAATATCAAGGATCCGTTGGACGTTTAGAAGAGTCAGTGGAGGAGGACTTTATAGACCATCTGAAGTATTCTTGCAGCCGCGAGCGTAACTACCGTAAGTAAATTAACTTTGGATCGGTTATAAATTATACCATGACGGTTTTATTTCTAGGTGATTCTATGTTGGCAAAAGCTCGCTCGTTTGGTGATCGCGAACTTTTCCGTAAAGCACAAAATATAAATATGCCTTCGTGTGACAACCTACAGAATTATTTGAATACGTAGTTTATTCTAAAATAAGTAAATTTGTTTGTTGTCTTCGTTATTGTGTTTTTAATACATTACATTTATTTACATATAATTTAAAATCTTAGTAGGAAAAAAATGGAAATCGACAAAATATGTACGTGCGTTCCTAATTGAGAATTTTAGCTAAAGTAACTTCCGAGGATAACGACCGGGTAAAACAAAAATTTAAACTTATGAGCGTGTGTATGTTAATCTAACGCTGTTTTGATTATCTTATAGCTATTTTTCAAAGAAGTTTTGGAATAGAATCAAATTACCTTACATAACATGCATATTTAGATTAACAAAAATATAAACGCTGCTTTATTTAAGATCAGATAGTTTGGCAATAAATGCAATAGTCGATATCTGTTGGCGTTTTCTTTATAATACGAAGGATTCAAGCAAAATTCTATTTTAGCAGCATAAAGCGTTCCAAAAAAAGTGGCTGGGTCTCTGGAGTGACAGTCCTTAGCCAGAAATAAATGTTGCTCTCTTCTTAAAGACACCACTTGCCACTGGGAAATCAGATTTACAATGTCGATTGTAATGGATTGAATCTGCTGAATTTTTAATCTTTTTTTCTTGATTGTATCCGAAAAAAGGTATTTTCTCTTTTTAGTATTTAGTTAGTTTTATTTATTTTTTTTATAAAATAAGGATTAAAAGGCTGGAAATTATAGCCCTTGCGTGTTGTTTATCAGTTAATGATTGGCGTTCCAAAATTCAATTGGCAATAATCGCCTCCAGGGCGGCAACAACATCACCACTCTGTTCGCGAAGCACTTTCTCTGCTTGAGTGCGTGTAATTAACATTTCATTCATCTAAAAATATTAATGTAAATTAGTTGGAAAGAAACCTCACAATAGAAGCACCACTGGTTTACTTACAATCAGTTCAATGTCCTCTTTTTTCACATGCACTTTCTGGAGCTCCATTTCTTTAGCAACTTTCCGCTCATCTTCTTTACTCCGCTTATTGCCTATTTGCTCAACGGCCTGTTTAGTAATTGTTAGATAAATTTTATTAAACAAAAAACGTATCGTCACTCACGCTCGATATGTGCGCCGCCGAGATTTCCTTCTCCTCCGCATAATCAGTCACACGTTCCAAATCTGCTGCGCCGCCATCGTGGCGGGTTTGTTTTTTCTGCTTCTTATCCTGAACATCCTCCTCAGTGCCATTAATTTCATTTTCAGACATTTTCGATGTTAAATTTACCAAATTAATATAATTATTTTCTTTTTACTTTAAAATGTGCGAAATTGTTGAAAGAGATCACAGCTGGAAAAGGGATGAGTGCAAACGTCAAAGCTGTGTTTAATAAGTACAACAAATTTTAAGTAATGCCTGGGTTATAAGCTGCAATTAGTCAAGAACGTAAACGTACCGGTACGTAAAACCGAGTCAGCTGACACGATCTGTCATACCAGAGCGCCATGTAAATGAAAACTCAACATCGCAGAATTTTTCTGTAGCTGTAGCCCGTAGCGCTGAAATCTGCGGAATTTAGATTTTTCCGTGTCAGCTGATTTCTTTCTTTTATAGGTGGTTGCCACTTCGTCAGTTTTGCAGATGGTAAACAAGTTATAATTTCCTATTCAAAATACGTTTAAAATATTTGAAATTTGCCATTGAATAAGGTTTTTTGTTGAAAACTAAGTAGATTATATTTAGCTACCATGTATTGTAGCACGAAAAATTGTATTTGAAAATGTAAGTTTATGAAAAGGCATTGATGAGTGGCAACACTGTAGTAAACAACACTGAGGGCTCCAGTAATCGACAAAATTCTGCGTATACAGACTGCGTTTAAGTATACGTTCTGCGTTCTTGACTAATTTCAGCTTTACCAACAAATTACTGCATCTCTTTTTTTGTCGATGGTTGCCAGGTAGATACCATATATACCGATATATCTAAAGCGTTTGACAGAGTTTGTCATGGGTTATTATTGTGTAAGTTACGCTCATTTGGTTTTCACTCCAAGTTTCTGGATTGGCT